CCGCTACTTTAGTAATATTGAATACAACAAAAATAATTTTGAAAATGTATGGGGGCCTAAGGCCATAAAGCTCCCTATTTTTGCACCTTTGATTGTTTCTAATAATACAACTAAATATATAAAAGTGTATTAATTATTATTTGTATTACAATTAAGTAAGCACCTTACTTAAACACACATGGGTTAAAGACTTCAGAGATTAAATTGTTTATCATAATAAGTTACATGCATAGTATATTTTGAATTTTTCAAAAAAAAAAAAACGAAATTCAATGTTTTTGACACACACTTTTTGATTTAACTATTTTTGAAAACCAAAAATCTTTAATTTTCATATTTTTGAAAAATTAAAAACTGTTTCTATTATAAAATTGATCATATTATTTTTATTTCATATACTATATAAAAAGACTGACAGTACTACAAATAGAATAAAAGGCAAGACATGGGAAGACATTACAAGTGACTACAATGCATTGCAAACAACTGGTATACGAACTATAATACAATTAAAAGCAATGTTTGATATTATGAAGCGAAATACCAAGAAATCTCAAAGCAGCGAAAAAGTAAAAAAAAATATTATTAAAATTATATTCATTTAATGAAGTATGTGCTTATTTTTATTAACACTTGGTTATCCCATTTTTATATAGAGTAGACCCAAATCACTGTCAAGTATTAAATGTTAGGTTATTGACATAATAAAATAGTTTTATTCAAATGTTTTCAGTGTTAGGTGATCAATTAATTAATGATATAATTATTTTAGGTTAATACTTACTTACTCCAACCCAATGGACAAACTGAACGTGAAAAAGAATTAATAGTTGATCTTATTTCATCAAATCGACAATCAATTGTATGTTATACTTACAAATAATTTTATTTCATGTTAATTTTTCAAAATCCATTTTTAATAGGAATTATAAAGTTATTTTATTTATAGAATCAATCTGTTAGTTTGGATTTTCAAAATGAAGCAAGTGGGAAAAAATCTGTTAATGAATTGAAATTGTGCAAGGAAAATTTATACAAAAAGGCTAAATTAGATATTAATAAAGAAAAAGTAAATATTAATATTATTATTTCTTTTATGGTGTTTAATGATATTTATATCATAATTTTGTATTTGTCTTCAGAGAGAAACCTACAAAACTGGAGGTGGGCAAGCTAATTGTAATTATACAACTACAAGTAGTAAAATTGCTGGTATCATGGGTGATCGATTTCAATCTCTGGAGTCTCCTCACGACTGTGATGGTGATTATCCAGCTAAATATCCATTCAGTAGTCAAAATTTGTTTACAGACGATACTGATCAAGTATCTAATGATGAGAGTCCAATATGTAAGTTATTATTGAATTAAATTTAAATAGTTTTCATTCTTAATGTAATATTCCCGAATAACATATATATTAAAATTGTTTCATTATTAAATTGTAACCTAGGCCTAGATGATATTGATTCTTCTGCAAGTATTTCACAGCCAATTTCCATTGTATATAATGATGTTATAAGTGGTAAGAACTGAATTATAAATTACAGTTTTTAGTAGAAGTCTAATATTTTGTAAAATTATATTCTTTAACTAGATAAATTAAAAACCATCAGTCAGCAGCCAAAAACCACGTTAACAAAATCTGTTAAAACCTCTGCACCTCTAAAAATTAACGGTTCAACAAAACGTCCAAATTCAAAGACAGTTCATGAAAGTTTGGAAGATATACCGACACACCATTTGAGTTCATATAATACAAACAAAACTTTTGTTGATTATCCAGCTCAAAATCCATTCAATGGTCAAAATTTGTTTACAAACGATACTGATCAAAATATCAGTACTTTATCAGTACATAAAATGTCAGTACTAATGATGAGAGTTTAATATGTAAGTTATTATTAAATTAAATTTAAATAGTTTTCATTGTTAATGTAATATTCCGGAATAATATATTTATTAAAATTGTTTCATTATTAGATTGTAACCTAGGCCTAGATGATATTGATTCTTCTGCAAGTGTTTCACAGCCAATTTCCAATGTACATAATGATGTTATAAGTGGTAAGAACTGAATTATAAATTACATTTTTTAGTAGAAGTCTAATATTTTATAAAATTATATTCTTTAACTAGATAAATTAAAAACCATCAGTCAGCAGCCAAAAACCAACTTTACAAAATCTGTTACAACCTCTGCACCTCTAAAAATTAACGGTTCAACAAAACGTCCAAATTCAAAGACAGTTTATGATAGTTTGGAAGATATCACGACACACCATTTGAGTTCATATAATACAAAGAAAACTTTTATTGAAAAATATAATGACATGAAGCTTATGCGAGCCAGGGTTCAATTAGAAAAAAATATTTTAATTGCAAAACAAAAGGCAGATAATGACCATTACCTTTCTCATGCTAAACAAAATAAAATGAAAGAAGAAATTTTAGAACTTAGTCTAGAAAAAATAAAAGGAAATATGATTTTGTTGTTTAGTGGAACTAGGTACCAGAAACTAAAATAAATATTGACATTGTTTATTTCAAATTTGTATATAATTTTTAAATGTAGGTTTTATGACTTATGTTATTGTTAATTTTTATATACCTACTACTCAAGGAAAGAATTTATGTTATTGTTAATTTTTGAATACTATTCTAGGAAAGAATTTATGTTATTGTTAATTTTTATATACCTGCTATTAAAACAAAAATAAATGTTACAAATTTAAAATAAGTTGTTTTTATTCTTGTCAGATACATCTATTAAGAAAAATAGTTTTCAATGATGTTATTTCTTACAGCATTTCCTACTTGCTGTACTGGCAAAGCGTCTAGTTCTTCAAATAAATCATCATCAATCTGCAGATCATTTTGAGGCATCGTATAATTTTGTTTTTACAAAATATTGTGTAATACAGCAGTAGCCGCAATAGTAGTCAATGCTGATTTTGGTTTATTACGTAATCCAACAGAAAGAACTGGAAAACGCCTTTTCAAAACACCAAAAACTCTTTCTACTACATTTCTGGTTCCAATTTGAGCTTTCTATAAATTCAATATTTTTTTTACTTAACCACCATTATTATAAAACTATTACATTGCTAATATTAATTTTAATTACTTGATACTTTTTTTCTGCAGCTGTGGTAGGATTTAACAACGGAGTCATCAAATATTTTCTGCAGGGATATCCACCATCTCCGAGCAGAAAACATCCTTTAAATTCATTATTTTCGAACTGTGCACGCAATAAACTATTATCAAAAATAGTACTATCATGTACAGATCCTGGCCATCTATATAAATAATGCATTAAATACAACTCATATACCCATAAAATGAATTAGCAAAATATCAATTAAACTATTACCTAGCTACAATGTTCATAATTTCCATTTTGCTATTACATACAGCTTGAACATTAAAGGAGAAGTAACCTTTTCTATTCCTGAACTGTTCTCCTATATTACTGTTAGGAGACTGGATTCTAATATGTGTGCAATCAATTGCACCAATTACTTTAGGGAATTGGCTACGTTGATAAAATCCAATTTGAACTTCTTTCATTTCGTCTTGTGTTTTGGGCATATTTATGAATAAAGGACGAAGGCAAGCTATACATTTTGATACACGTTTTATAATTCTGCAAACCGATGACTTGTGCACTTGAATATGATCTCCAATAACAACCTAAATAATTGATTATTCTATATTAAATCATTATATTTTTTGTTTATAATTATTTAATAAATGTATGGTTCATAAACGAATAAATTTGAAAAACTTACTTGAAATGCCCCAGTCGCATAGAATCTCAACGCTATTAATAATTGTACTTCTGGTTTTATTGCATAGCTCCTATTAGTACCATGTTTTATATTTTTTCCAATTACATTCAATAATATAATGAAGGTATTCTTTGTTAACCTATGGGGTATACACAATTTGTAATTATTTTTATTTAAAATCCAACTCAATATTACTTATTAACGCAGTTGTATTAGAATAACAGGGTCAACTGAGGTAAATGTTAACATGTTAGGTACATTCTTAAGGTGTTGAGAAAAACACATTGTGATTAAAATAATACATTGTACGTTTATTATTCTTTCAATATTGATGTCAGAACAAATTTTTATTTTTTAAATTGTAATGGGGCAATAGTAAATTTAAAATTGTGAGCCGGATAATGTTTTTATATGAACCCAAAATAATTAACAATAACACAGTCTTACCTGAACCTATTTTTGAAATCTAAATCATCATAGTTTTCCAGAGGATTAAAACGATCTCTGTATAATCGTGGTCGAGGAAGGTTTATCAAAACTTCAAGCACATCATTTTCTTCATCGGAATTCGATGATGATGATGATGATGATGATGATGATGATGATGATGATGATGATGATGATGATGATGATGATGATGATGATGATGATGATGATGATGATAAATACATGACTACTTTGACAAAAGCAAGAGGAGAAACTACCCGCTGGTATTCGCAGTTCGTACTCACTTCGAAATTCTAATTAGTAAACTGTAAACTGACAAACTTTAACTTACCTAAGCAGGGAATAAAGTTGAACAGTTGAAGTTTTAAAAATATTTGATTATGTGATAAATAATAATATTACATTATCACAAAATAATTCCATCTTATCAGGCCAATAAAGTTATAGAACTCTTTTGAATATTTATCGAACCGAAATCGGGTCTACAACATATCGAACCGATAATACAATATTTATTGGATTGATAAAACTTATTGGTCCTTTCTGCAACAGTCCAAATTTTTATCGATTTGATAACCTAGTTATTGGTTCGATAACCAGTTATTGGTCGTTTGTGCAACCGGACATTAGCATCTGGTGAAAATATAAGATAATTAAGATACAAATCCAAAATTATTATAGAAATAATATCAGTGTTCGATCACCTGTATAGTGTATAGTGCGTGTATACTTAGTGCGTTTTTCTTTTTTTTTTTTAAATATGGATATAACAATTATTTTATCGGAAAGAGGCAAAGAATTAGCCCTAGTTAATTTATACAAGTATAAATTAATTGGAGAGCAAAAAAAAGACAATCTTTTGAGATGGAGGTGTACTAATAATAAATGTTCGGCAATAATGTTCTCGGGTTTAGATAAACGTAAAGTGATTGAAACTGCTGGACAACATAATCAAGATAAAAATTCTATTGAGAAAATATATTATATATAATATATTCGTATTATATCAGACCGTGGTACATGTTATACTTCTGAAATTTTTAAAGAATTGTGTAAGTCTGCTGACATACAACACACTTTGATTGCCGCAGGGTCTCCACAAGCCAATGGACAGGTTGAGCGATATAATAGAATTATTAAAGCTATGTTGTCCAAGTCATTACATGAGAAAGGCCAAAATTGTAACGTTTAATTGGATAAGATACAATTTTGCATCAATAATACTTATAACCGTTCAATGAAAACCACTCCTAGTAAAATCCTATTTGGTATAGATCAGCATGGTGACTCTAATGATTTTCTGAGATTGGTTTTAGAGGCTGAACAAACTAAGGAGAATGAAGATAGAGACTTAGATAAGATAAGGAACTCAGCTCAGAAAAATACTCTTGATGTTCAACTAAAGAATAAATTATATTATGTTAAGTCACACAAATTCCCTAAAAAGTATGCAATTGGTAACTATATTATGATCAAAAATGTTGATACAACTCCTGGGGTAAACAAAAAACACATCCCCAAATTTAAAGGCCCATATGAAATTAAAAAAGTTCTCCCCAATGATAGGTATGTAATCCAAGATATTCCAGGGTTTCAGGTAACTCAAATGCCTTTTAATTCTGTGTATGAAGCTAGGAATATGAAACCATGGATTAAAATGTAATTTTGCAATTGATAATGTATTATGTAAATTTTATTTTTTTTTTTGAAATTATTATTTGTATGTTTAGTATGTTGTTAGTTATTATTTACAACATGTTATATTTTATAGGTATGTATTATTTATTACTATTTTTTTTTTCTCTCTCATTGTGAAAGAAGTGGGGTCCACTTCTTGGTCAGGACGGCCGAGTTGTAGTAATCATAGTCGCTAGTGTCGCTGTCATCAGTTGTCTGGTCGACTGGGCACTACACCAGCCGACATTATTATTATTGTTATGATTACCACTTTATACTTTGTCGTTATTAGTTAGTTCATTCTTTTTGTCGATCGTTTATGTGTGTACCTCTGTCGTTATTAGTAATTATTATGTAATGTGTGCAAACCATGCTTTCACTAATGTGTGCATAATTGTTCTTAAACTGTTACTTAAGTTTATTCATTATTGCAGAAATAAGAAATGTACTATTACTATTACTCATTCAAATTATTATTGATCCTGACTTAATTCTTCCGTCTACACATAACATTTTTTTTTTTAAATCTAAGATTTTATAATTTAATGCAAGATTCCTCATAAGTTTTTCTACCTTTATCAAAAATGAATGTCTACAAACAAATCAAATTAAATTTCTATGAGAAAAGATACCGTTGAAGAAAATTTAAGGATTTTAAATTTTTCTTCACTTCGCTCAAAATTTAAAATTATATAAATTTTTGTTTCAACAATATTCATACGATATTATAATATTCGGGTATTTGGCTTGTGGAACACATTTCTCAGCATTACATTTCGAATTTCTAAAGGGAGTGTCGACCATATCGAATATAGTGCTGGAAACATGCGAGCTTATATGGGACGTATTACAGCCAATTGAGATGTCAGAGCCCATAACTAATACGTACATCACCCCAGCCCCACCCATTTCGAATTTTTGAAAATTTCGTTTACCATTATTTAGTACGTAATTTGTATGAATTTAAATGATAATTTTCAAAATTCGTACGTTCTCGGTTTACCCGTTATTAACAAAAATAATGGGTGGGGCGGGGGTGATGTGATTTTAGCCCCACCTAATGTTAAAAATTACAAAATAATGGTCACAACTACACCAACTTTTAGTACGTAATTTGTACGAATTTGTACGACCGTTTTTAAAATTGTTCTCTGTTTTATTTTTAGTGCGTTCTATTCAGATTTGAAATAGTCATATAATATATATTTAAAATTTTACAACCTACGTTGATGCTCAAATTTAGTTATATTATTGATCACTATCTGTGACGATTACCTACAACATATCTACTAGTGTCACTATGACACGCTTCTAGGCTAAACCTAAAAATAGTGATCAATAATGAAACAATTATTATGTAATAAGTTTATTAGTATTTTAAATGTAAATATTTTTCAAACCACTGTGCGATAGACAATAGTTCATTATTAATAATTTATGTGTACAAATAAATTAACTCTACTTACGGGATACCTGGAGGAGAGGTAATGATGTTTATATTCTCTAAATCGTGATTATTATCTATGTGTACGATACATGCCTGTATTGTAGTTGTAGAAATAATCTATATTAGATTTAGAGAAAAGAACAAACAAATTTAAGTGTGAAATTTTGAAACGTTTATTAATGTAGGTACAGTGTGATGCAAATGATCCAATACTTTTATGTATAAGTATTAGATTGTGTAAACTAAAAATTCGCAAGGTACCCTTGTGTTAGCTTTAACTGGCATAGGTTTAGATTTTAAGTCATCATAAAGTTCCCAGTTGGTTGTATAGGTCCGCTTGCAGTAAGATTGATAATGTCCAATTCTTTGCCTTAATCTACTCATCCCGTGGCTGTGTGAACATATACCCTTCAGTTCATACTTTACGTTGCTTATAGTTATCACTAGAGGCACATCATCTAAACATACTTGGACCTGTTGCTCAACGTCTGTACCGTAATTTTTGTCTACTGCATCTTCAAGATTAATACATTTATTTTCTTTTGTCAAATCATCAGCAAAGAGGACATCATGAGAACATGTCAAACATACAAGAGTTGTTCCACTCTGACCAGGTCTATAAACTGAACATGTAGACAATGTATGAACTGGAGTATCACAGGCGGCACATTTTTGAGACTCATCTGTTGGAAAGTTACCTACTGCATATAACGGACACTTTTTTTTTATTTTATTTATTGTATTGAAGTTGGTAGAAATACTTTCAATATAACCATCAACTTTCTTTTCATAATCATCTTTGACCGACGTCTTATTTTTGTTTTTGTAATTTAAATGTTCTAAACTTCCAGTGTCCAAACTGTCAACAATGTAATCACTATCCATATTAATCGGAGATATATCTCTATTCAAATCACATTCTTCATACACTGGTGAGTTCTTATCAGAATTAGTAAAATATGTTTTTGCACTTTTTTAATCTCGTGGTTTTCTTCATACGGTGGTGATTTTTGTAGATCGGAATTACTATAATATGTGAGTAAACCTTCTTTATTAATGTAAATTTCTTCATAAAGTGGTGAACTGTCTTTGTTGAATTGACTTTGGCTATTATTATGAATTTTTGTGTCTTGGTAATAAATTACGACTTGACTTCAATAGTGACATGCCACGGAGTGCAGATATATGATTTTCTAAAAACAGTTCAATACATAGATAATATAAGAATGGATAGGACATAAGAACTTATCACATGAAAATTTAGTGATACTATTTTTAAGATTATATGAGGCAAATATTGATATGATAATTGATAAATAATAATAAATAAAATTTATATAATTTCATTTTGTTAAAATATTATTTTCCAGGCACAGGTGGCACAACAATCAAAATACAAACTGACAAATATCTAAATATAACTGACTATCATGTTATTATTATTATTTAATAAAATAGTTTTGCACATAACCTTAAAAAGCCTCATATCGTCTTTCTCTCTTTACGTTCTCTCTTCCCCAAAAAAGCACACGGCCTCATATGGAACTGGTATAGGCATGTCCTATCCATTCTTATATTATCTATGGTTCAATATCAGTGGGTAGTAAAATATTTTTAAATGTTACATTTTTTAATTTTTGGAAGCTTGATTCAACGGCTGCCGAACTTGCCGTTCATCCCCGTAACCAAAAATGGGAACCATTATAGCTGACCATAAAGGCACTAGCTTCATACATTTTATAATATATGGAACTAGTTCAGGTAAATATAATGGGTTAATATTAGGTATCTCCAGTTTGTAAAAAAGATTTAGTTTCATCATAAATTCGTTCAGCCCATTTTTGAAAAGGATTATTTAAACTTCCTAGAGCTTCATTCAAATTTTCTTGGGATTCTAGTATATGAATTTCTTCATCTTTTTCTGGATCCAATACTTTTTCCAATAGGGTTTCGTTATCCATTAAACCAATTGCACTAACAAAGATAATTCTTTGTTTAGTTTCACAAGGCGTTCTTTCTCCACTTACGCTATCAGTACCATCGGTTTCATTAGTCAGTACAATGAATAAGCTCAACAACAGAGAAAACATTTCTTCTAGAGACTTACTTCTTATTAACATACACAACGACCGGAGTATAATCTCTCTGACTCTTCTTGCTACGGTTTTGAGCGGTGGCCATTTGGTAATTAATTTAAAAAAATGAGCAATATCTGTTCTTATAAAGCATCTAGTAATCCATTGTTTGTTAGTGGGAAGATTATTCACAATTAAATCGGCACAAGCGTTAATATAAACTTGTAGCGAAGAGTACTGGGTAAAACATTGTACCACTGCTGACAGTATTGCCAATGACTAATCGCATACTGTAATTTTTTGGCATCGGTACATCACTATTTTTCCAACTAGCAAGCCAATTGAAAATTACCACATTGCTATGCCTTTCACTAAGCATATTAGTGACGGTAAAACTAAATTCATTTTCTTGATCATAAACCATAGCTTCATAAAGAAATATATACTTTGTTTTTTCACCATCGTATTTTTTAAAATTTGAAATAATCGGTTGCATCAATAATAATTTGTGGACACTTAGATTCACGAGCATATATCCTGTATAAGTGAATCTGCTCTCCAGTTTGATAGTAGGTATACGTAAAATAAATCGAGGCCTATGTCATTAATTACAGTTTTAAATTCAATTTCAGTTTTCAATTTTTCATTGTACATAAAGCGGTCAATTTATCAGAAAGTCTTTGATTATTTAAGCATTGACGTCTTTTTAAATTTCTCAAAGCATGTCCAGTTGGTATTATGGCTGCTTCATGATCACCTAGGAAAGTATGCATATAAAAATATAACAAAACGAGTTTAGTTTGTGTATAAAACGTATTACAGAAATACTGATTTAAAAGTTTTATCTTGCATCTCGCTAAGTTACGAAATGTGTGTGAAGTTGGCCCGCCAATATCAAGCAAATCGAACCGGAATGAAGTTTTTGTCTGATTTCAAGTTAAAGAAAAAAAATCTATATTTAGTTTATAATTATATATAAATAAATCTTAAAAATAAAATATCTGAATAGAATAAAAAATACCTAGTTTTATAAAAAGTGGAATATTTATAAAAAAAAACATGCAGTTGCATAAAAAATGTATATTGAATAAAAAAAAATCAGTAAGGTTACATTTTGGTCCTATTTGATATTTTGATCTGATTTTTCAAAAATGTAATTTGAGCGGATAAAAATCTCCTTGGACACTTTTTGATTCATTTTTTCCTTGGAAATATTTTGATCTTTATCAAAAAATATAAATTCATAAGTATTAGCCAAATTCTTTTCACACCAAAATTGAAGACGAATCAAAAAGTCCTCAAGGATCTAAATGTCTCTGGAGGATCAAAATCCCCAGATCAATGTTACGTTACAAAAAATTTAATATGAATAAAAAATAAATTTTGAATATAAAATTCCGATAGAATAACAAAGTAGTTGTATAAAAAAATTGTATATTCTATTTGGTTTTTTTTATTCATTTAAGAATTTTTTTTTCAAAAGAGATTTGTTATTTAAATTAGATTTTTGTTCATCTAGGTTTTTTATTTTATTTAGATTATTATTTGTATTTAATTTTTTATTTGATATAATCATTTTTTTAAATTAAACTAGAATTTTATTATAAAATATAGATTTTTTATTCAACTACGCTATTTTTCTTCCATTTAGATACTTATTTGATTAAAATAATTTTTTATTAACAATACCGATTTTTAATTTAAACAATTGTAATTATTTGAATAAATATAGGTACCTAGATTTTTTTTATTCAAATTATATTTTATTCATAACAAGTAGGCATACAGATTTTTTTCTTAATCTTGACGTTTTTATTCAAATTTGATTCTTTTATGCAACAACATGCGTTTTTATTATTTTTGTAATTTTTTTGTTCAAATTATATTTTATTTATCAAATATAAATATTCTTCTTTAACCTGAAATTTTTTTCTCCAGATTTTCTTTTTAAAACTATTGAACAAGATGTGTGGGTTAAATATTTTAAAATTAGTAGTTAAACGTGTATAAAATGTTCGAATTTTATAGCTAAGCTAAGGATTGAAAATTTAAAACAAGGTTCCACGTAAATTTTCCACCTTTTTTTTTATAAATGTCAATCAAATTGACCGAGGAACAAAAAGGTAGAGTTTATATTGAGTTTTTGACAACTCTCCAAAGAGTCAAATATTCTAATCCTCAAATTCAACAAATACCTTCACAGGTGAACTCTAGTTCTATTCCTTTTACCAGTTTAACTTATCCATATTATAACGCCAATCAAACTTTACCTGAATTTTCTGCACTAAGCTCAGCTATAAATCCACATCAAATTAAAACTGTGACTCCTGTTCTTTTGAAACTTTTTGAAAATGGGTACATCTGGCCCTGACATAACGCATAATTTTGTCTCGAGAAAAACACCTTGTAAAACAACTTCATACATATGGTGTCGGCAAGCAAATAATAAAATATTTCTATTTAGTTTTTGTTCTAGCAGTACACAAGCACCGTTTTGTAACCATTTAGGGTACCTAAATGAAGAATGTGTCATGTTTTCAATATTTGATGAGAGAATTTTAGTTGAAGACAAACGAAAAATAGTAAAAATTATGATGAAGAATTAGAAGTTCCGAAAAGAATAACTTTGAAGCCCGGAGAAGTACCAGAGTTTATTAATCGAGAAATTCCTATTGAGTTATTTACTACAAATTCTCTAAAATTTTTTTCCCGTTTCAAAATTTCCGAAGAATTCTTAAAAATAGATCCAGTAGAATGGAAAAATAATTCAGAATATAATAATGCTCGAGACATAATTTCGTCAATCAAAGTTGTAAATGATGCTGCTGAACGTAACGTTAAATTAATGGAGGATTTTAATCAAACAATAACGAAAAATGAAGAACAAAAACAGTTCTTACTACAAGTAAGACAATTTTCAATACACATAAAAAATAAAATAATAATAAATATTATTAGTAAATAATATCTTGAGTTTATCACACTAAATTATTGATTTAAATTTTTTAGGTTGTAAAAGATTACAGAACAAATTATCCTGGACATAGCAGAGAAGTACTAACTAAAATTCTCGAATAGTATAATGTGATTTTCAGTAATAATCTTAATTTTAGGAAATTAAAATATAAACAATTATACTATAATCCAACTATTATACTATTATCCAACTAAAATAACTACTTATAAAAAAATCATTTAATCTAAATATAAAAAATATTTTGTATTTTATTAATTTTTTAGTCATAAAATTAATTAATTAAATTTATATAAAATGTCCTATTTGATTTTTTTTCAACCCTTATGCGGCACGTGAAGGGGTTGAATTATTTTGTATTTCTTAACAAAATAAAAGTGTGCTGGTTACAAAAATCTAAAGTTACAATTTTTGAACCACCCTAATGTAGTCATACCTATAATGTATGATTGTGTATTGGTATTGTCAAAATTAATAGGCTGTATATTACCAGAATGTGTGGATGAAGTAGATGGCTGAGGATTATACTGAGAATAAGTGTTTAATGTAGGAGTCACAGTTTCAATTTGATGTGGATTTATAGCTGAGCTTAGTGCAGAAAATTCAGGTAAAGTTTGATTGGCGTTATAATATGGATAAGTTAAACTGGTAAAAGGAATAGAACTAGAGTTCACCTGTGAAGGTATTTGTTGAATTTGAGGATTAGAATATTTGACTCTTTGGAGAGTTGTCAAAAAAGGTATTGGTATACACTATTACTTAATGCGACCAATTTTTAAACAAATTAGTAGAAAATAACTATTAGGCTTGTATGAATAACCTTGTAAAATATTACTACATTAAAGTTTTAAAGTCAAAAAGTTATACATTTTATAATTTTATTAACATAAACCAACAAAAACCCATAAATGCAAATATTTATTAAGTAAATTATTGAATTCTATGAAATTAGGTATTACTCATAAGTCATGAATCAGGAATTAAAGTAAAATAATGTTAAATACATTAGCAAAATAGCAAATCTAGATATAAGTATCTAAAATATTCTGATTTGTTCCATTTTTCATTATGATATCATTATGGAGAATATGATTTAATAAAAACAATGATGTCACATTAGAAAACTTAGGAAATTAAGAATACACTTAGATTTGTGATGAAAAAGCTAATTTGAAATCCTAGATATGTATAAATGAACAATGACTTTTAGATATAGATATTTAGGTGCTGAAATAATTTGAATTGTTCCATTAAAGTAAAAATATATCATCAGACACAACAACGGCACAATATGAATAATATGGAGAATATTATTTAGTAAAAAAAATGTTGTCATGTTTGAAATCTTAGGAACCATGACTTTTAGAGAAATTAAATGTTGCTTTTTCATAATAATTTACCATACATAGAATTGCAATGAAAAAGCTAATTTGAAATTTGAAATCCTAGATAGGTACAATAATGAATAATGGCTTTTAGATAAATTGAAGAATAATTTTATTGAGAATAATGACGACTATGAAATTTAAAAATGTCTTATTCAAAATGGTTCAACTTGTCTACATTTCAAGAATTTAAAAAATGTTTTAATTCTTAAAAAAGTAAACATTTTTCTTAAACTGTTTGAAGAAAATGGATCATATCCAATAAAACAGTTTTAATTTAAATCAATGGGCTAAATAAAAATTAAGTTAAGTCATGAGTCAGCAATTGAAGTAAAATAATATTAAATACATTAGTATTATATAGATATTTAGGTGCTGAAATAAACTGAATTGTGCCACTTAAATACTTAATATAACACTGTATATGGTATAATGTATTGATAATAGATAAGTAAATGTATTAACATTACCACTCAGAAAATAAAACTGGATTAAGCATTCTATATTATGTTATTCTTAGGTATCTATCTTGCGTAGGTACGTAAATTGTTATACTAACATAATTAAATACGACTGAAGGCATTTACAAATTGATAAATAATCAAACTATACATATCCTCAAATTTTAACTAATGATGGTGATGAATACAAATATAATTTTTCTATGATACAAACAAGTACCTTCTTAGAGTAAATAGAGTTCTTAGAGTCTTCTGATGTCAGTTTAAAATAAATGCAAACATTTCCAGACGATAACAACCAGTTGACGAAAATTCAAAAGCACTAACTACAATGACTTAAAAATATCAACCAGATTGAAATAATGAAATATTTAGATATTATGTATTTTAATTTATATTTAATTTAACTTTTAAGTTTAAAGCATTTTCGTGGTTTTAAGTGTTTTAACTGTCATATAAAAATTATGAAGTAAAAAGTGACAAGCGTTATCAATTATCATAGAGATAGCACACGTGCACACGATTTATAGACCTAACCTTGGAGCTTGTATAGATTAGTATATCAAAGATAGGTACTATCACTGAGTAGCACTATGACAATACTACATACTATACCTAGGTATACGGATGTATACACGTTACATTGGTAAACATCAAATGATTTTAAGGTTATAAAATATAATATAATTTATCATTGATAAAATTATATGATAGTTACAATATCAAACCTTAGATTATATCTGAGTGTCAAACGGTAAACTGTAGTACTTTGAACTGACTACTGTATACTGTAATAAATTGATAATTCGATACCCGGATTATTAAGGTCGTACAACGGAAGCACTTTTAGTATTATTCACTGTTGACATTTTATAAATTAACACCAATATTCAGATGTCGATAGCTCCTTCAATTATTATCACATAAATGTAAATGAACCGTCAAAATTCATTAAAAATTAAACTGTGCACGAATCATATTTCAAAAATATAGGTTCCCATTTGAATTTTAAAAGTTGACCCTCAAACCTCCCCATCTTAATTAATAAAAAAAATATTTAATATCAAATTAATTTAAATTATATGATTCAAAACAGTTTTCACATGGGTCATTTTCCCCTAATTTAAATATATCATGCTGAAATCTGCTGTCACATGAAATTTGGAACACCCTTAATATCTTAATAATTTTACAGTGTATAACATTATATTAATTTTTAATTTTTATTTTCTCATTGGTTTAATATATTCTTTTTTTTTTATGACAAATGTCTCTTTATTATCATAGATATTAAAGAATGGATAGGCCATGGCTATGTTAACAAAATAGAGGGTAGAGCGCCGGGATGGGGAAGAGAGAAAGACTGATTTTATCAATGCCTCTCATTCTAGCAGCGGTCTTATAAATTTATATTCTGTGATTGCTCTCATAGTCATGAGTAGTGATGGGCACTGGGTAAATACCCGATGGGTAAGAAATTTATTTCGGGTAAATACCCATGATATAAATACCTTTCCGAAATCGGGTATTTATTTTTTTTTTATATCGCACCGGCGGCCGTCACACTGCTGAAGTTGGGGTGCGTGTGCGTGTTTGGCGACTGCCGTGTGCTATAAATATTTTATTTATCAGTTATTATCAGTTATCAATAATAACAATCCGCACTAAACTATTACGCGGTATGTCAATAGCTAACAGTCAGCGCACTCAACAGTCAACACCACGATTTTTTCACAAATCACGAAATTAGACATAATATTAATATGAAGTTGTCTTCGTTGTCTATAATAATTACGCGTTTAATTATTAGGTTATGTTCTTTTCATTGTTTGCGTTTTTTTCTCCAAAAAAAATTGAAGTCATGTGCTTACCGCTTACGTCTTTCAATAAGTTTTATTATAATTTTAGTTTTATTTTATTTAAAAATATATTTAGTATGGGAAGAAAACAAGATCCGATCCGTAAATATTTTAAAAAAGTCGGTATTGATGAAAAGCGTCAATCGTGTAAGTTTTGTTCAAAAGAATACAATTTAAATGTGAACAAAATGAAATCCCATTTACTTAAATGTCTAAAATTTAGATTAAGAAATGAGTGAAATTTTTTATAAATTAGTAGATTAGGTATTTACCAATCTATTTTAATATTAATCAAAGCATTGCATTTTTTATTTTTACTTAAAGAATTTTGTTGATTTTGTTATGTTTTATTATTTTATAGTGTGATAAATTAAATACTGATAATGTATGTCATAAAAATTATAATTTGTTTTTATTTTATTTCAAATATTTAAAGCTCTAACGCCTCTAACACTACATAAGTTTTTAGCCTGATTTTATCTTAATGTTTAATTACAAATTACAAGTACCTAACATTGTTTTAATTACATTATATTGGTAAAAGGTTTTATAATTTATTTAAAATTGAAGAAATAAAATAAAAAAAACGCAATTAAAAATAAATACCCAAAATACCGGGTATTTTTTTTAAATACGTTCAAATCGAATCCCAATCAAATTAGTTGAACCAAAATTAATTGTTGATTGCTAAT